CGAGGCAGGCCTTCTCAGTAGGTGCGAGGCCTTCTGGGAATCCCCGCCGTCCTCTGAGAAGGCCTGCGCCCTCTCGCTTCCCCCACTGGCTCGCCGCTGAGTTCCATAAGACAGGGGGTGGTGGTCAACAAGATGTTGCACGTACGTCTTTGGCACGCCGACAGCTTGGCTCCAGAGGGTCTGCGGGGGCCTCTGGAGGCGTCTGCAGCATCGGCGGGCGGAGAAATCGACCGCCTCAAGATTTATGGCGCGCCGTTTTGTGTGGTCTCTGTCACAGATGGTATTGGTGACGGTCCTGGCCCTGATCGGGCACCGTGACGGCCATGGCCCTGATCGGGCACGCAGACAACGAAGAGTAAGAAACGAAGTCTTCACATGCAACTGTGTTGTTGGGCTCAGGTTTTGAACCCACTGCCCAGCATGCGCGCGCACCTTCTCCCGCCTCGCCCCTCCTCCTCCCTCCTCCTCCTCCTCCTCCTCCTCCTCCTCCTCCTCCTCCTCTTCGCCCCTCCTCGCCCCTCCTCCTCCTCCTCCTCCTCCTCCTCCTCCTCGCCCCTCCTCCTCCTCCTCCTCCCTCCTCCTCCTCCTCTCCTCCTCCTCCTCCTCCTCCTCCTCCTCCTCCTCCTCCTCCTCATCTCCTCCTCCTCCTCCTCCTCCTCCTCCTCCTCCTCCTTCTCCTCCTCCTCCTCCTCCTCCTGCTCCTCCTCCTCCTCCAGTAGCTCGGCAGCCACACCCTGCGGATCGCGGCTCGCAGGGAGCTCCCCGCGCCTCTGCGCGCTCTTGCTCCGCGCCCCTCCCCCCCCCCCTGCTAGCCGAGCCGCGCGTGGAGAGGGAGAGGGGCACGCCCCGCGCTGCGCGCGGCCGCATACAGTCGAAGCACTGTCATAAGGAACCCTAAGTAAGGAAGGATGCCCTTATGTTCCATGAGTTACGGTGGGGGCACTGGACAAGGAAGCATTGGATAAGGAATCCAGGGTCTGGATGCCGGTGGAACTCCAATCGAGGCTTGGCCACGGATATCACCGCCGCCCTCATCAGATAAGGAATCCTCCAAGCTCTGCAGCATCCTGGGCACATTCCTTGACCAACGCCCCCACCGTAAACTTCGGCTTCCCATAGAAGCCCTAAGGGAAACCTGAGGAGCACTGCAAAACGATTCGGGAACAGAGCCCCTCCCCAACGAACTGGGTTGCTTCTTCAACGGCCCGACTGCAGGGTTGGGCCCCTCGCTGGGCACCTGTTCCTTCAGACGCTGGAGAGCTGGGAGCCCGCCGCCCCTAGAGGAACAAAAACACGGAAATACGCACACGGCCGATCATATGATCAAGGAATCCATGGTCACAGGAATCTGGACCAGCTTCCTGGAGGCTTTTTTCTCAAGCGAGCCTGGGCCAATTTCTGTTGTTAACGCTGGAGTGGCAAACGTGCTCAGGAGACTGGGTCTAGCAGGCTGGTTAAGAAACGCTGGCCCAGGTTCTCGGGAGGTTTCTTGATCAGATGCTCGACTGCACACCCTCAAAGGTCCGCGCGGACTTGGATGCCTGGAAATGGGCACCAACACCAACACAGGGGTTTGCCTCCACAGGGGGAAGATGATCCTAGATTTCGACGTTGGTGGTGATATTTCGGCCACCCTGGAAACCAGAATATTACCACTAGCACCGAGATCGGGATCATCTTCCCTCGGTGGAGGCACACTGCCGATATTGGTGTTGGTGTGAACCTCTAGGCCTGCGACGGACTGCTTGCCCCTGACGGCGCCTCCCGCGCAACCCCATGTGCGCGTCGCACGCTAGGGAGGGGAGGCCCTGCACCGCTGAAAAACATCCTCACGGGCCTCCGGCGCCGCCCTTTGGCTCCTCGCGCGCCCTCGCACCGCGGAGGTCCGACGCGCATCGCTGTACTCGCAAGAGCGACGACGACGACCTCGCCGTGGACGACGACCTCGACGACCTCCCCGTCTTCGTCGATCTCGTCGTCCACGACGACGACCTCGTCATGGACGACGAGATCGACGACCTCGCCGTGGACGACGACCTCGACGACCTCCCCGTCTTCGTCGATCTCGTCGTCCACGACGACGACCTCGTCGTGGACGACGAGATCGACGAAGCAGGGGACGACGTCGGGCGCGCGGCTGGCCGATCGTTGCGAGCGGTGCGACGGCCGCGGGCCTGCGCGCTCGGGCTTCGCCCCCCGCCGTGGACGCCCCCCCTCCCGCCCCCCCCCCCCGAGAGCCGCAAGCCAGAGTGACCTGCGGCAGAGGGTCGCTCCTGCTGCTGGGTTGGTTTACGTTGGGGCGCTTGGGCTGATGGGCCTGTTCTCCACCACCACCACCACCACCGTCATTAAGTTGGAGGGGGGGGTCCTCCTCCTCCTCCTCCTCCTCCTCCTCCTCTTCGTCTTTTTCCTCCTCTTCGTCTTTTTCCTCCTCCTTCTCCACCTCCTTCCCCCCTCCAACTTATGGTGGTGGTGGTGGTGGAAGGAAACAGGCCCATCATGGGCTTTGCCCCGCCCCTGTTACTCCCCCCCGAGAGCCGCAAACCAGAGCTCAACTTCTGGAAAAGGGTCGCTCCCGCGTCTCGTCGGTCCACGTTCGGGCGCTCCTCGGGCCTCCGCGCCCAGGCCGACCTCCGGGCAGCGGTCCCTCCAGGCCCAGAACGTCGCCTGAAGCTGCATCTCCGAGGGACATTGGATGTCCCGTCGTGCCGCTATTCGCGTCGACTTCATGTCGAACGTCGGGTCCACGTCGAACCCACGTCGAGTCCGCGTCGAATCCACACCGAATCCTCGTCGGCACCCCGTCGGACACAAAAAAAGACCACAATTCGCGGGACAGACAAGATCCCCCGAAGATGCAAAGGAGAATGTCGCCGTGTCCCAGAAGCGCAGCTCCACGTAAGTTGGCTGCGCGCACAAGGGGGAGGGGGGCGGGGCGAGTGGGTGGCTTCCTTCTAAGAAGGCGGAGGCTCTTTTCAAAGAAGGAAGGGCCCGGGGGCCCTCTTAGAAGGGTCCAAGAGCTTCTGGGAAGGCTCCCCAGAAGCCGGCGCGGCTCCCCGGAAGGATTCTCGGGAGGCCCAAGGACTCACGAGAGGGCCCCCCCCCGTCCCAGAATGCCACCCCGCCTCCTGCGGGGGCCCCCCCCCCCCCCCCCCCTCCCTGCCTTCTGAGACCCCCAGGAGGGCCTCCAAGAACCTCGGAGGAAGGCGACTTGAGACGACGGCGGCTCACAGTCGGCCACCAGACCCCTCCTGGGGCCCCAGCGCACCAGCTTTCCGAGCCGTGTCCAGCCGTGGCGACGAGGGGGGGGGCCCGACGGCCAACTGCCGCTGTCTCAACTTGCCGTCCTCTTAGAACCCCCCCCCGCTCAGACCCTCTGAGGATAAAGGGAAATAAAAACAGCACAAACATCAATGTTCGACGGTCCGCGCGGATTTCTTGGATCCGCGCTGGATTCCCCTTCCCGGAGCGCGGAGCGCGCCAGGGGCGGCGCCGGAGGCGCCACCAGTGGGGACCGGCGCAGAGTCCGAGAAATCTGCGCGGAGCTCCGAAAGTTTGTGTGTTACGGCGTGATTTCTTCTTTTGTACTGAGGTGGCCCGATGCATCGGACCCCATCTGGGAGGCCTAGCCTGGACCCCCCATGTCCGTCTGAGAAGGCCCCCGCCCCCCGCCCCCCTGGTGTCATCGCTCGGAGGTCCGTTCCCCGTGCATGTGTCGATGTCGTGCGTGTTCCTATTGCTTCGCGACGTGATCCAAGATGCTCCTCGAGTCCCCGCCGAGAAGCACTGCTGCGAGGCGGGACTTAATGACGCCCGTGGAACCGACGTCCTCGGACCGCGGCGGGCGGTGGATATATGGATGTGGGTATGGATATGTATATATATATATATATATATATATGTATCGATCTGTATATATATATGTATCTATCTATATATCTATATCTATATCTCTATATATATATATCGTTCTATCTATCTATCTATCTATCTATCTATCTATCTATCTATCTATCTATCTATCTATCTATCTATATATAGATCTATACATCTTTCTATCTATATATCTATATTTATATATATGTATATATAACTATATATATAGCTAGCTATCTATATATCTATCCATCTATATAAATATATCTATCTATCGATCTATCTATCTATCTATCTATCTATCTATATATATATATACATATTGGGGCCGAGGGGGGTGCGAAGCTATCCATACCCGCCGCCTGCCGAAGGCCCCGAAGCTCGATCCCCCAGGCGGTGGTCCTGGATCGAACGCCCCGCCTCGGCGAGGCACGCGCCCGAGCGCTGCCGCGCCCCCCGCGCCGCCACCCCCCCCGGTGCGCGCCGCCGTGGAGGGCACCGCGGCGTCCTCGCCGACCGCCCGGAGCGCCACCTCGGCCGCCTCCCGCACGGGGTAGCCCCGGCAGCCGCAGCCGATCGCCGGGCAGGCGAGCGACTGCACCTCTGGGCGGCGTGCCCAGGTCGAGGGCGCGCGAACATGGATTAGCGAACATGGACTAGGGATCCATGGATTGGCGAGGGCGCGCGAACATGGATTAGGGATCCATGGATTAGGGCCCAGGTCGAGGGCGCGCGAACATGGATTAGCGATCCACTGATTTTGGGCGCGCGGTCGCCAAATCCATGGATCAGGGGAGGTGCCCTCCCCAAAATGCGGCCGGTGCCGCCTCGCTCGGCGGTGGAAATCCGCGATTTCCCATGGAAGCGGGACCCGTCGCTAATCCACGCCCCCTTGATGCATGTTTGCGATCGCCTGAAGAGGGGGAAGCGAGAAGGACAAGGACCGACCACGAAGCTGAAAACGAGTTGGCACTTGGAACGAAAACCGAAACGAAGCCCAACGATTTGAACGGACGTTTCAACCGAAGCAAGCCCTAAACGAGACAAACAACGAAACGAGGCGATCAAAACAAAACGAGCAACGGAAGAACACGACACTGAAAAACGAAACGAATGGCAAACCAAAGGCCCACACCAAGCCCAACTGCGGTGTGGTCGGCCCTTGGAGAAGGAGCAGACCTTCTCAAAGGGCTGCGGGGCTTCTCAGAAGCCCTCGAGCCTTCTGAGCTGTTGGCCCATGTCTTCGGGGAAGGCTCAGAAAACTTCTCAGGAGGCCCGAGGCATCCCGAGCCTTCCAGGAAGGCCTGCCCCTTCTCACTTTCCCCCCAGGCTCGCCGCTGCACCTCTGCCGTCGTCGAACGACGTTGCCGTCGTCGTCGCCGCTGCTGCCGCCGCCGCCACCACCGCCGCCGTCGTCGTCGTCGTCGTCGTCGCCGCCGCCGCCGCCGCCGTCGTCGTCGTCGTCGCCGTCGTCGTCGCCGCCGCCGCCGCTGCGGTCGTCGTCGTCGTCGTCGTCGTCGTCGTCGTCGTCGTCGTCGATCGACACCGTCGTCGTCGTCGTCGTCGTCGTCGTCGTCGTCGTCGTCGTCGTCGTCGTCGTCGTCGTCGTCGTCGTCGTCGTCGTCGATCGAGGCCGTCGGTGCTCGGATGCTTCTGGGCGCTTCAGGAAGCTCTCGTCGTCACGGCCAGAGGAGGCCCGAAGCTCTGGTCGGTGGACCTCGGGGGCCGCGGGTCCGAGGGACCGACGTTGAGACGATCCACGGCCGGGAACTTTTGCTTCACGTGTCGGGGGTTGCTGCAGGTGCTTCTGGCCCACGGTGCCCCCAGCTTCTCGCGCAATTCTGGCGCACCTGGGGCCCTCTGGGCCTCGTGAGGGGTGCCTGGGGAGCCTCCCAAGCAATGCTGGGGGGACCTTGGGACAGGGGCACTTCCAGCAACACCCGAACGTGTCGCGGCGGCAGCCCCGGCGACACGCTACCCCTTGCGAGCGGACAGCGCGCCGCTCCGCTCCGCGGGGCGGGAGGCTCGGAAATGCTCGAGACGTTGATGCTCGGGGAGGGGGAAGTGGACAACGTGCCGCGCCCGCCGAAGCGTGGTGGACCAAGATTTGAGTATCGTTTTGACCGATCCCCATCCCCAGCGGCGTGGTCTGAGCCCCACTGGTCGATTTACCCTCCCAAAATGGGGATATAGGTCGTTCCCTTCGGGTTTCGAGCGGTGCATCCCCAACTTGGGTGATAAGTTGGTGGGGGTCTCGAAGGGGATGGGGATGGGGATGGGGATGGGATAAACGATACTGAAGATTGGCGGCGTGACACGCCGTCCAAAAGTTCCCGACCCTAAGCAGGCCTGCAGCGCTTCGACATCAAGCGAAGAGCTGCTTCACCGCTCCTGGCGGCCTGCGTCGGGCGTCGGTTCTGTCGGGCTCCGCGGAGCCCTCGGGCCAAACGTTCGAGGCGAAGGGCCACCCTAACCACCAGCATCTTCCTCACCCTCTCCCTCCTCCCCCTTCTCCTCCTTATATTCCTTCTTCCCCCGACCATCAGAATCCTGTCCGTCAGTCCGTCCTCCTCTCTCTCATCTTCCTCATCTTTTCCTCCTCGTCCTCCTCACCTCTGACACCCCTCCACAATACGGAGTCATAACGGAAGGAGCACCGCACTTCGTCGGCACATGCCGCACGGCCTGTACAATCGACCCCTGTATCTGTCCTGAGATACGTTCTGGCAGGACATTCGGGACGGATCCAGCTGTGGCGACGGGGGCGCGCCAGGCTCAGAAAGGCGCAGAAATATAATTGTCGATGCCCTTTGCGATGCTGTGGGGCCAGACAGCTACAAGAACACAGACTTCAGGATTTCCGCTCGGATCTATTGGGTCGGCGCTGGACCCCAGTCGCTGGGATCAACAACCCTCACGCTTGCTGTCCTGATTCGAGATTCTTTTTCCCCAGAGATCAGAAGCCGTGAATCTTTTCACACAAATAAATATACACAAAAAACAAGATTCCTCATATATGTTCTGGGTTTTTGTCTTCCCCCCCCTTCCCATATTTCCCCATATTTTCTGGGGAATCGTCTATGATTGTTGTCTGTGTGTGTTTCCCTCCTGAATCTTTCGTTTCATCCTGAGCCGCTTTTGACGCTCCTGGGGCCGGCGAGAGCGACACACCTCCGCGCTGATTTCTGCTAAGACACTTAATTACCCAGCCCCGCGGTGACCCCATCAGGCCGAGCGCAACGTTGACCCCATCTTCCTGCGCCAACTTTCGAGCCGGACCGATCTGTGCGGATCCCAGGGCCCGAGGCCCGGCAAGAAAAAAAAACGCCCGCTGCGAAGAAGCTGCAGCGCCAAGATCTGAGCGTTCGACCTCCTCCTCCTCCTCCGGCCTCCTCCTCCTCCTCCTCCTCCTCCTCCTCCTCCTCCTCCGGCCTCCTCCTCCTCCTCCACCGGCCTCTTCCTCCTCCTCCGGCCTCCTCCGGCCTCCTCTGGCCTCCTCCTCCTCTTCATCCACCTCCACTTCCTCTTCCTCCTCCTCCTCCGGCCTCCTCCTCTGGCCTCCTCCTCCGGCCTCCTCCTCCTCCTCCTCCTCCTCCTCCTCCTCCTCCTCCTCCTCTGAGGGCCCGAAGGGCACCCCCAGCTCGGCCGCCGTCCGCAACAGCTCGGCGTAGCTGCGCCGCAGCAGCTCCGCCGCCTCCGGCGCCTCCACGAAGTCCGCCGCCTGCGAGGCTGGCAGCGGTCGCGGGTCGCGGCCAGCGGGATGCGACGGCACGGCGGTGTGGAGGACGTGCTGGGCGTCCAGGCGGGGCCCCGCCGGCGTGGCGAGCACCTCTCGGGCTGGGCTTCAACAACAAGACGAGGCCAGGACGAGGATCAAATCGGGTGACATCGAGAACCTCTGAGATCCGGCAGCTCTGGAGTATGTCTCGGGCGCCGCGGCTCTGGAACGGATTCTCTACGTCCTAGCCCCGCTCGGAGGGCGCGTTATGGGGGGGCGATAAGTGGGAGGGGCAGCGAGGACTGGAGAGAAGGGGCCCTTGTGGACCCCTAAAAGGGGCCCTTGAGGGCCCCAAAGGGAGCCTTGAGGAACCAAAAAGAGCACCTTTCTCCCCCCCTCCATTTATCGGTGAAGGCCTGGGCCTGATGCTGAGGGCATTCTGGTTACCTTGCATGCGCATCTATATTGCAGTTCACACCTGCTCACGCACCGTCTGGTGCAAGGCGTACTTGACTTGACTTGCTTTATGGCCCCCCATGAATTCGCGCCCAACTCGCCCGAAAGGCCCTCGCATCCGGGCGTGGGCCCCGGCCGGCCCGTCCAACTACTGACGTGGGTCATATGAGAACCCCTGGGGATTTTCCACGTTCCCACCCCTGGGCGCTCTCGGGCTGGTGTGGCGAACGCGTCCCGATGGGGGGAGTCAACCTTTTTTTGTTTGACGGAGAACTTGGGGTCGCCAAATCCAGCGCCCGCGCAGAAAAGACGCTCATGACTGGTTCCCTCGCCTGATGCTGACAGGTCGACGAAGCGCCACAGGATTGGACAAGGGCGGGGTCAGCAGAGGGGGGTGGGGACAGCGAGTCAGCTCGCGCAACCAGTTCTCCCAGCGCCTCCCGGCGCCGATGAAACCAGCGTGCAGCAGATTTCATGAGACTCCCCCTTTCCCAATCCCCGCTCCCCCCCCCCGCGTTAACTTCCTCGTCGGTAAAAACGCGATGAGGATACGTCGTGGATGCATTGTGGATGCGTCGTTGGCACCGTTCGGAATGCGCTGTGGATGCGTCGGGCATGTCGTTGGCACCCCTGGGTTTGACCTGTCCTCCGTGCTTACCGGGGAGAGCCTAAGCTCCTGGAGGTGCCCTCTGACGTGAGGATGCCGTCCCCATCAGGCTTCGCGGCACCCACCCCCCCGCCTGGGCGACGAAAAAAAACGGGCCTTGCGCGAGATGACGTAGCGGCCATACGCAGCCGCTTACGCGGGCCGCCAGCGCAGCGCGCTGAGGGCGCTTAGGCGCGACTTTCTTGCGCGGTTCACTCAGGCGCGAATGTCAGCGCAGTCCACCCCATGTCCTTCCGTCGCTCACCTCGAGGGTGCAGGCTGATGGCCCTGGGCCACTAGGGACGCGGGCAGGGCTTCACGATGGCCAGGGAGGCTGATGAGGGGAGGAGGAGGAGGAGGAGGAGGAGGAGGAGGAGGAGGAGGAGGAGGAGGAGGAGGAGGAGGAGGAGGAGGAGGAGGAGGAAGAGGAGGAGGAGGAGGAGGAGGAGAACCAATGACAGAGCACACACAAGAACGCCCAGAAGCAGGGGGGTAAGACCAGAGGCGGGCAAGCGGTGCGGCCCGGAAAGGTGTGGTGCGATGCGACATTGTAATTTGGCGACGTCGTCGTCTTCCTCTTCGTCGTCGTCGTCGTCGAAGGGCCCTCCGCGGGCTCGCGCGCACTCGCCCGCGCGCCACTGGGCCGCTGCCCCGTGCGACCTGCCCACGCGTTCTTAGGAAGGGATCTCTCTGTACAACCACCGCCCGCATCGGAAGCTGAGCATCGTTTATCCGATCCCCATCCCCGGCGGCGTGGCCTGGGCCCCACTGGCCGATTTACCCCCCTAGGTGGGGATATAGGCAGTTCCATTCGGGTTTCGAGGGGTGTATCCCCAGCTGGGGGTGTAATTTGATGGGGGTCTCGAAGGGGATGCGGATGGGGATGGGGGTCGGTTAAACGATACTGAGAGCGGACTGCCGCAAAAACACAACCCAGACCCGGCGGCGCGCCCAGCGGGGAAGCGAGGGGGGGGGCGGGCCCCTTCGGTCGGCTCGGAAGGCCTCGGGCCTTCTAAGAAGTCCCCCGCACCTCCCCCGAAGATGTAGACAACTCCTCAGCAGGCCCGGGGGGGGCTTCTGCGAAGCCCCGCCGCCGTCTGAGAAGGCCTTGTCCCTCTCCCTTGCCCCCCCCCCCCCGGGGAGCGCCGCCGACAGACCCCAGACCACGCCGCTCACTGGCCTTAAGTCGGGCGCGTCCCCCTACAGGCGGATTTTGGACGAAAAATAAAAGATACTCAAATTATTCACTGCGTGGAGCTCCCCATATGTGCATCTACTCGCATGGACCTGTCCGCCGTGAATGTCTAGGCGCAAGAGCTTTCGAATATTAACGGGCTTCAGTTGTGACGGTCTGGACATCAATCTAACTGCGAATGAATTGGAGTGTGAATGAGCCTCAGTAGTACGAGCGCGTCTCTGTGCATGAGCCTGGGGCCTCCTGGGGCCTCCTGAAACCTACTGGGGCTTCCTGGGGTCTCCAGGAGCCTCTTGGGACCTCCTGGGACCTCCTAGGAAGGTTTCGTGCCCCAGGGGAGGCGCAATCTATAGCAACAGACGTACATAAAGCATTGCGGATTAGAGCCACAGGAGAAGGGCAATATATAGGAACACGCGTAAAACACCAAGGACTCGTGCCCCAGGAGAGGCCCAATACATAGGAACATGAGTAAAACATTTAGGATTGTGTACACAGGAGAAGGACCATCTATAGAAACATACGTAGAACATCAAAGAATCGTGCTCCAGGTGAGGCCCAATCGATAGGAGCATACGTAAAACACATGGGATTGGAGCCACTCCTGTTGCCTTCTGAGGCCTCCTGCTCCTGGGGCCTCTCGGGGCCTCCTGTTGCCTTCCGAGGCCTCCTGGCGCTTCCTGTTGTCTCCTGGGGTCTCCTGTGGTTTCCTGAGGCCTTCTGGAGCTTCCTGGGGCCTCCTGGAGCCTCTTGGGACATCCTGTGGCCTCTTGAGTCTTTCTGTGGCCTCCTGATGCCTCCTGGGACCTCATGTGGTCTCCTGGAGCCTCCTGGAGCCTGTTGGAGCCTCCTGTGGCATCCTGAGAAGAATCTGCGCCCACGAGCCTGGCCACCAAAACTAGCAAACCGATCGAGACATCCTCAAAATCTGGCCCACCTGGGGGGTGAAAATGAGCGCCTCGCTCGAGACATCCTCCAAATCTGCTCCGAAAGCGAAGGATGTTGGGCACAGAAACAGGCAAACCGCCTGAGACATCCCCACAAAATGGCCGCGAACGAGCCCGTGCAACCACCCCTGGCGGCTCCCCTTAGGGGTGCTGAAATGAGCGCCTCGCTCGAGACATCCTCCAAATCTGCTCCGAAAGCGAAGGATGTTGGGCACAGAAACAGGCAAACCGCCTGAGACATCCCCACAAAATGGCCGCGAACGAGCCCGTGCAACCACCCCTGGCGGCTCCCCTTAGGGGTGCTGAAATGAGCGCCTCGCTCGAGACATCCTCCAAATCTGCTCCGAAAGCGAAGGATGTTGGGCACAGAAACAGGCAAACCGCCTGAGACATCCCCACAAAATGGCCGCGAACGAGCCCGTGCAACCACCCCTGGCGGCTCCCCTTAGGGGTGCTGAAATGAGCGCCTCGCTCGAGACATCCTCCAAATCTGCTCCGAAAGCGAAGGATGTTGGGCACAGAAACAGGCAAACCGCCTGAGACATCCCCACAAAATGGCCGCGAACGAGCCCGTGCAACCACCCCTGGCGGCTCCCCTTAGGGGTGCTGAAATGAGCGCCTCGCTCGAGACATCCTCCAAATCTGCTCCGAAAGCGAAGGATGTTGGGCACAGAAACAGGCAAACCGCCTGAGACATCCCCACAAAATGGCCGCGAACGAGCCCGTGCAACCACCCCTGGCGGCTCCCCTTAGGGGTGCTGAGTATGAGTAAGTCTGTGTATGAGTAAGTCTGTGTATGTGTACGTCTGGGTATGACTAATACTGTGTATGAGTAAGTCTGTGTATGAGTAAGTCTGTATATGAGTATGTCTGAGTGTGAGTAAGTCTGAGTATGAGTAGGTCTGAGTATGAGTAAGTCTGAGTATGAGTAAGTCTGTGTATGAGCAAGTCTGAGTATGTCCGACAGGAGGGGAGGAGAAAAGAGGAGGAGGAAGGAGGAGGAGGAGGAGTAGGAGGCGTCCAAGTAATAACAAGAACCCCATCGTAGGATATGGGGAAAAATACCCCAAGCATGGTCAACTAGTCAAAACATCGTCCCCAGACTATTTTGGAACCATTTTCTGACTTTCCTCCTGTCGAGGGGCAGACCCGACTTTTAACACTGGCCACACCTGCCGCCAGGCCCCGGCAGGAGCAGGGGGGCGGGGGGAGACGCACGCGCCGAGCGGCTTCTCGATCGCCAGACCGGCCCCATGTTTGCAGATGCTGGGGCACTGGCGGCGTGCAGCCTTGAACGCCCGCAGCGGGGTCGCCGGCGCGTCGACGAGACAGGAGCCTGCCGTTGGCCCAGATCCGCTCAGATTCGGTTCCTGGACCAGGGCTGAACCTCAACGGTGTTGTTCGTTTTCGTTTTGTCCTCGTTGTCCCTCGTTTTGTCTTCAATCCGCCTTTACCACAAAGCGACATCGAACCGAACACGGCCCACGAAATCGCACAAACACCGTTTAGGTCCAGCCCTGTCCTGGACTCCTCCTGGGGAGCATCTTGGGCATGTTCTTCGTCCTGGTCCAATCTAAAGCGGCCCCTGGGCCCGAAGCGGGCCTCCAGAGGCCGAAACTTTGGACAAAGCCTTCTCGATCTTTGATCCTTGACCCGCGAACTACTGTACTCCGAACTTCTCATTCATCAACTGGGGGGTGACAAACGTGAAAACGCGGCGCGGCCAACCCCCCCCGGCACCACCCCCGCGCCCCAGCGGGGAAGGGAACGAACCCAGGACCTCCCCTGGCACCCCCGCGGACGCGCCGCGGCCAACCATCCCTGGCACTCCAGGGGGGGGGGCGATTATCAAGCGATCCGGAGTACACGGCCGTCTTTCTGCCCGCCCCTGAGACTATCTGTCATCCTCTGGCGCGTACGGTTGTTACCTGAACCCCCCCACCCCCCCCTGGGCACACACCACTCTGGACCAGAGCGGGGAGCGCCGCTTTTTGGTGGTAGGGCTCGTCGGGCGGATGTCGAGCACAGCGTGCAAGACGTGGAGCACAGCGAGGGAAAGCAAAAGGACAATGGGTGGATGGTAATCGTCAGCCCTCCACCCCCTCCTGGGTACAAAACAACAATTGCGATTATCCGAAGGAGGGGGGGAAGGGGCCTGCCCCCCCCCCGCACACGCGTACGAACGCTCGCGCGAATGCCATGGCGATCGCAGCGCACTCCCGCCCCAACGTACCCCTACTCCCTACCCCGCTTGAGCGGTACCGCTACCCGGGGGCCCAGGGCAGATGTGGGGCTGGGAGGAGAATCGCTCCAGATGGCTCCTGGGAGAAGGAAGCGTGAGCATCCTGCTGGGCCTGTCCCCTCACCCCGCCTTGGGATAAGCACCCTCTGCGACACCCCGGCCCTCCCCGGGTGGCAACCGCTACCCAAAACTCCGCCACCGTGACACTGCACGGTTTCCTCGGGGGCCGTAGGCGACCCGAGGAGGAGGAGGAGGAGGAGGAGGAGGAGGAGGAGGAGGAGGAGGAGGGAGGAGGAGGAGGAGGAGGAGGAGGAGGAGGAGGAGGAGGAGGAGGAGGAGGACGACGACGCACGCCTCTGGAGCACAGTTCGATGTCTGGGCAGACTAGACGCTCTAGGACCGGCTTACAACCGAAGATTTCGTGCACGCGCACGCCCTATGAGGATCCACAACTTGTCAATAGTTGCATCCGACCCTCAGGCAAACCTGTCAAGCTACAAACGTGGAGTAGCCCCCTCCGCGCAAACAAAAATTGAAACGGATACGCCGGGAACCATCAATCACTGCGCGGGGCCCCCAAACCCTGGAGATGGTATTACCTCCTACCCTGAAGCAATCCAAGCATGCTTCTGATCGTGGTGCTGTCCCACCCGGCGGCTCGCATTGAAGCAGCCGCATCACGGGAAGCAGAGTGAGGATCGTCGGAGGGGGGAGGCATGTTGGCAGACCGGCCCCTAGACCCGCCCCGCTCACTCGCCCTCCGGTTCCGGGTGCTGGGACGCTCTGGAATCAGCACTCCTCCCATTTGCACAGGCCTGTGTGGATGATCCGATCGAGGTGGTGCATAGGCGCCACTCCATCCTTCCGCTGGGCGCCGAGCTGCTCCAAGCAGCTGCTGATGATATGGGTTTCCTTGCTCACGCACATCTGAATTTTGGCATCCGTTTCCTTGTGCGCGTTGGACACCTTGACCAGGGCGAAGGTTTTTCCGGCTGCGTCTATGCTCATCTGGTCCATGTGGCCCTTGAGCTCCTGCAGGTTCTGAGGTTCGCTCTCCCCACGCCCTCCCCCTCTGCCAGGAGACCCTCGACCAGGCCCACAACCGCCGCGCGCGATATCGTGCCGAACTGAGCGAGATCGCCCTCGCTCTTGTTCTCGGCCCTCGCCTGTTGGACACGCTCCAGCCAACCTCGAACACGCTGCCGCGCCATGGTCACAGGCTTCAACCCGATCGGGGCCAGCAGGGTGATAATAGTGATTGCCTCCACCTGCCGCGTCCGGAGCGCCAGGTTCAGGACCAACTTCATCAGCACTGGGAACAATCTGCCAATCTCTGCGGGTTCCATGGCCTCCAGCGCGTCCATCTCTTCGCTGCCGAGGCGCTTGTTGTCGGTACCCTTGGCGGGCGCGCCTTGCCGGACCCTGGGCACCTTGGTCCTGCCCCCCTGGCCCCCCTTGCCGTTGTCGGAGCCTCTTGGCCGCCTCTGGCTGCCCTCGTTGACGTCCATCGGGACCGCCGCTGGCATCGCACTGAACATGCCAGGAAAAGTCGGGCAACGGTTCAGGCAAGTGGGTGCGCAGGTGGACCTGCAGGAGCTTGTACTCCCGAAACGGCTGCAGGCAGACGGGGCACGTAGCGTCGGCCACGTCGACAACAGGGTAGTTGCGGGCCGATGCATCGACGATGCATCGACCATGTTGGTACGCGTGGGTCAAGTGCCTAAAAGCTGTCGTTCGGTCTTTGAAAGTAGACCGGCACGCGACACACTGGTTCGTCATGGTCAGGGAAGCAATAAGCCCACCATTCCCGTGTTGGCCCCCATTAGATTGCCGTTGGTGTACCAACAGTGCCCTACGAGTCCTGAACCGCCTGTGGCACGCACAACCGTCAGCATCCAGGAGCAAGCACTCATGATCCCCATCCGCTGTCTCACCCCTCTCCACCTCGTCTGGGCCAGCTGGCGGTGGTGGGGTCAGCAACCATTCAGAACGCACGATGGCGAAATCCATCAGTCGGAATATCCTCCGCGCCTCACCATTCCGGAACACGTTGAGGGGGTCCGTACCGATAGCATCCCACAAATCATTCCCCACTTCCAGGCTTCGGAGGCTCTCCAGGTCCTGCACGAATAGCCGGGCCCACCGGTTGGTCATGGCAGTCGATTTTGGGGCCCCCAGATCGTGCGGCATCCACGGAAAAAGCTGGGGTCGTGGGTCCTCGAACTTGAATGTACCGAAAACAACAGAAAGTTCCCGGGCATGCCATGCAGGGTTAGCAGCAATTTTCTGCCAGCCTTTCAACCTCTGGGCCCGCAGTTCGACGCTAATTGGGACAAGGCCGAGTCGTCGCCAAACCTGAAGATTCGACAATGACCGGATGACCGTCACCTCCCTTCCCTCATCATCTATCCTTGTCTGCCTCTCCGCCACACCTCCCAGGAGAGCCCGGCCGTACCGCACGCACTTCGAGTCTACTCGGTCGATCTGGGCAGGGGCAAGGACAAGAGCGGGTAGGCCCGACACACCAGCGCCCACAACATTACTGCGGAATACAAGCTTCTTGTGTGTCCACGTGGCCTTCGATTTCCAAAATCGTCGCATCATGTGCCATCCCTTCGCAATCGCATCGCAACGGCTCTCCACTTCAGGCCACCAATTGTGGGTCGCATCGAAGATCACGCCGAGAAACGGGGCCTGTTGGTGGACCTGGCCGGGCAGGAAGTGTGGGTTGTAGTGGACGTACTTGTTGAACCTGCGGGACCCAGGACCTGCATAATGAGCGACAATGTTTTTTCCCCCTGGTTCTGAGCTACTCCACGCTTGCGAAGCTCCTGGTCGAGTATGCTGTCGGAAGTTCTGATAACCATGCCTGTATGCGCGGGGTCGGTAGTCTGGTGGGACTTATTTACGTCGTCGGCATACGTTCGGAGAGAGAGATCGCAAACGATTCCCGAAATGGGGCAAGTAGCAACAAGATCGTGGGGGTGGCGGCTGGTCAACTGCTCAGTCCAAGCCTGGATCGGTTCAGAAAAAGCCTCCCGGAACACCGGCGCCGAGTTAGAATCCCCTTGGAAGTTCCCTGTCCCATTCCGGAACCACGCCTGTTCCCCACTCGCCTGCACGAGGAAACTCGCCTGTCGGTGGCGCTGGCACATGAAGGGGACGTCCACGGGTTCATACATCCTCTGTACTGCTCCGTCGAGCTCGGAATGCAACACTGACGCAAACGCATTCGTCATATCGTGTTTGGTGTCCACTATCGAGACCTTGGCCTCGCGCATACGCCAACCAAGAGCTGCCGTTGTCCGGATTGCCCCAAGGCGTGAGCGGCCTCGAAGGTACCCGTAGTCTCCATGAGGAGTGTCAGTAGTTTCCCGACGGGCACATTTCACCCACGCCTTCCCGAAAGAGCACATACCATGGAGCAATCGTGTTCCAAAAGACCTAGGCTTTCCATTGTATTTGGGGACCTGGTACGTTTGAGACTGATTCCATTGCATCACCATCCTTCCGTTGTGGCGGACGCGGGCTAAAATCGAAGTGACCCACTCCTTGATGAGGGCACCAGGTGGGCTCGGGGGCGGGGCTCCAAGTCCACTGGTCGTAGTATTAGGGGTGGGGCGGTCAGATAGAAGCACGGCCCAGACTTCCGAAGGTACGGACCAAGGGACCGCAGCTCGTCGCCTAGGGCCGGTCCGGAAGCTCTCGGCGAGGCGCTCGAAATCGACGTACGCCAGCGTCCACTCAGCATCGGTGGGTGGGGCAGGGTCGTCTCGCTGAGCATTGAGGGCAAGGAATTCGATCGGGTCGATGGGGGTAGCGAGCATCCCCCCTTTTTGGGGAGGGAGGGCCAAGTCTTGGGTCCACTCGGCCATGGTGGGCAGGGAGTCGGGGAGTCGATTGAAATCCCGCCGTCGTGGTCCCACGCCATTGGATGCTAATAGCCGGCATATCCTCCACTCTTCCTGTGCCTCCCCCCGTCGGTGCGCTTCCTGAAGCTCCTCACACAACTGCCGTTCCCTCATCTTGCTGAGCTCACGTCGCATCGCACGGCACTGCTTCGACACTCTCGTAAGGCGCATCACTGCATCAATATCGTCCGTCATATGAGCACGTGCCCTCCCCCTCTCCTTCAAGGCCTCCACCCGTCGGTTGGCAAGTTCCTGATATTCCATTGGTAGGGCACGACGCGTCGCACTGTAGAGATCCCCCCCCACCTGTTGAAGCGTCCCCACTAAGTGATCCCATGCTGTCTCGAGGCTAGGGGCCTGCATTACAAGCTCTTCCATGCTGGTGGCTTCCGACTGCCACAAGACGTTGGCAGCTGCAGCCTCAACGGCCGCACGAAATGGAGTCGCAGCACATTCGGAAGCGAGGGCACGAGCCAATCCGACGTAGTCCCAACGCATTTTGGGAGTCTCCCCTGTGTACTGTAGGCGGACATCGAGCTCCAAGTAGAACGCAATATGGTCTCGGGGTCTCGCGGCCGGTATGGCCTGGAGCTTGCAGGTAGACCTGTAAAGCTGACCAAATCTTGTGACCTTGGGAAGCGTACCTAGTGGAACCAAGACGTGGTCGATTCTAGACTGGTGGTGGGGGCCATAGTAACTCGGTCCACAGCTAAAGAACGTGTCCAAGACCCCCAGCCCATAAACCTCCGCCGTCCTCCGAAGCATCCCTCCCGCCAAATGCTCCTCCGACCTTCCGTATGGACCGACCGTGGGGGAGGATACCATTTGCAATCTCTGAGGGCCGATCGTCATACCAATACCGTCGTTAACATCCGAAGCAACAATAGGAATGGTCCTGGTGGGGAGGTCATCCAGCACATCTGTCAAAAAATCCGTCACATGGCTACATGTATTTAGAATGCGTGCCTGTTCTCGCCCGTCTCGGCTTCGGGGACAATAGTATAAACCACAAATCGTAACGTCATAGTTGTGGCCTTTCAGGCGCACTGCAGCAGCCCGTCCACGAATGCACGATTTCGGTGTCCAAATTCGTGTAATTGCCCGCGCTTTGATACTGTTGTTGTTGAGCAGCACTGTGATACCACATGCGGAGTTCGTGTATGTCTGCTTGCTCCAACCAAAGTGCAGTGCTCTGAAGTGTGGTACGTGCTCCAAATCGTGCGGCCTCACAGCTTTCCTCTGGGTGCCTATCAGGACTATGACGTCGATGTGTTGGTATTCTAACGTTATTTCCCGAAATCTGTCAGGGTCAGAAATAGATAGGGGGTTCCATATTACCACTCGCATGACAATAGAAAGCAAGAGGGCGGGCGTGCGCATGCGCACTCATCTGCCGGGGGGCCGCGGCGCGCGCCTAGCATCCCCCATCGGCCACGGGGGGCGCGGCATGGGCCGCACGTGGCTAGGAGGAGGAGGAGGAGGAGGAGGAGGAGGAGGAGGAGGAAGAGGAGGAGGAGGAGGAGGAGGAGGAGGAGGGAGGAAGAGGAGGCGAAGGAGGAGGAGGAGGACGGGTCGCCTCAGCCCTTCGGAGAAACCCTCCACGTGTCCCCTTGCACGTCGAGGCACGACTGCCAGGGGCTGCCTGGCGGCGCCTCTTCTATCTGGTAAGGGGACCGTCCCCGGCCTCTGCCCGCGGACGTGCTGCATGCACCGCCCCCCCCCTCTCCGATGCCGCTCCCCGCGTGCCCGCTCAGGGTGCACTTCCCGCGCGCCCGCTCGAGGTGCACTTCCCACATGGCTGCCAGTGCCCGAGCCAACCCCTGCCACGCGTGCCTGCTTAGAGGATGGTGCTCTTCCCGCACGGCAGCGAATGCCTGAACCCTCAGCGCGTCCGCTCGAGGACTGTGCACTTCCCGCGTGCTCGCTTACTCCTAGAACCCTCATCCCACGCGCACCCGCTCGAGGATCGTACACTTCCTGCAGTCCCAGGCGCTGCTCCCAAGCGCCCAGGGCCTCCCAAGCCACGATCCCTCGTTAAAAGCGAGTCCAGAGCTTTCATGACGGCCCGTGCAGGCAATCAAGGACACCAAGATGGTCCAAGCTGCCTCGAAGACTGGCCCCATGGCGGCCGAAGATTGATTCAATACGCCCCAAGCTGCCTCCAAGAGGCCTCAAATAGCCACAAGAAGACCTCCAACAGGGTCAGAGCAAGCCAAAATCATTGATTGCCCCAGGGTTTTTGACGAGCTTCGCATTCTCGCGTGTTCGGGCTGCTGTCAGGCTGTCAGCTAAAAACGGCCCAAGAGGACTCCACCGTGGTCCAGGAGGCATCCGAGACGGCCTCATGACGGCCCAAGAGGACCTCCAGTGGGTCCCAAGACGGGCTGTGAAGGCCCCTCAACGGCCCAAGGAGGCGCCAAGACGGCGCCACGACGGCCCCCAAACACCCACCATACGGCTAAGCGGGCCAGAAGGCGGCTCAAGAGTACCCCAAGACGGCATAGGAGGGCCCCCAAGACGGCCAAGCAGGGCCCCAAGGGACCCCCAAGACTGCCTCACAAGATGCCAAGACAGCCCCAAGACGGCCCAAACGAGTTTCATCCTCATCCTCATCCTCAGCAGCAGCAGCAGCAGCAGCATCATCATCATCATCATCATCATCATCATCATCATCATCATCATCATCATCATCATCATCATCATCATCATCATCATCATCATCATCATCATCATCATCATCATCATCATCATCATCATCATCATCATCATCATCATCATCATCATCATCATCATCATCATCATCATCATCATCATCATCATCTTCATCTTCATCTTCATCATCATCATCATCAGAAGCAGCAGCAGCATCAGCATCAGCATCAGCATTATCTTCATCAGCATCAGCATCAGCATCATCATCATCATCAGCAGCTTCATCATCGTCATCATCATCATCGTCATCATCAACATCAGCATCACCATCAGCATCAGCATCATCATCATCATCAGCAGCATCATCATCATCAGCATCAGCATCAGCATCAGCATCAGCAGCATCATCATCATCACCATCATCATCATCATCATCATTATCATCATCATCATCACCATCACCATCAGCATCAGCATCAGCATCAGCATCAGCATCATCATCATCATCATCATCAGCATCATCATCATCATCAGCAGCATCAGCATCAGCATCAGCATCGTCATCACCTCCATCATCCTCTTAATCCTCATCATGCTCATCACGGCTCTCCAAAGCCTGGAGACACGAGATCTCACACGTGACGGCCTCCTGTGCCACCTCGAACAAGTCACCACACATAATGCTGGGCTGGCACGGTGGCGGGACCTGCCGCAGGCAGCTGGATACGGTAGGTTCGTGCGGCGTGGGCGCGCGCAAAGTTTTTCACACCGCTTCGATCGTTCAACCTCGAACCTAGCGCTGCCCCGACCGTTCAAGGCTGAATTCCGTCGGGACCGCAGCGTTACCGTGCCCCTCAATGCTTCCGCGTCGTTCTGTCACACGGGATTTCAACCTGGAACGCCTTCGCCGGCGTCGCTGGCGCGCCCTCGCCGCGTGAGCCTGCCGCAATCAGAACCATCTCCCCCTGCGGACAGGGGAAGAAGGCATGCGAAACAGGCTCGTGTGTGGGGGGGGGGGGGGGGGCAGAGGCAGGGACGGCAGGAGGCCGGAGCGGGAAGGAGGAGAAGGGGGAGAGGAGCGCGCGGCGGCGGCTCCGCGAGACCGGGGCCCGACACCACAGCCGGGCCGGGAGGCGTCTCCCCTTGCGGGCCAGGGGGCGCCTCCCCGAAGCGCAGCTCCGAGGCCCGCTCGTGGCACAGCCGCAGCAGCTCCGCCCCCGCCCGCGCGTGCAGGGCCGCGTCGGCGCTGCGGCGCCCCGCGAAGCCCCACCTCCGGAGGTGCGGCCAGCCAGGGGAGGCCACGGGCTCGCCATCGCTCGGACGCCCCTCTCCCTGGCCTCTTCCGCCGTCGCGCGTGCATGCCTTGGCCCAATGCTCCGGGATGCTCCTCGGTGATCCTCGCCGGGAAAACGGGCACACGTCCGAGCGATGCCAGGCAGAGGGCGTGAGGCGCCCGGCCACGGGCCGTCGGGCTGCTGCAGTCCGGGACGAGAAGCGAGGCACGCAGCCCCTTCTTGGCACCAACGGCGCCTGGGTGCGCGAGGAGGGGCAGAGGAACAGCTGTGCGGGCCTCGGGCAAATCGAGCCCCTCCCGGACCCATACGGTGTCCTTCTTTCAGCGTCTTGACTGTGGGGAGCCCACCAAACAACGTACGCGCCCAGCCACGTACAGCCTGGACGCGGCCGCAAGAGACCCTCGCATGAGACTCAGCCCTGAAAGCCTGGGCGCAAGATGAACACGGGGGGGAACCCAGGGCACCCCGAACCCAGAGCACCCCGAACGGAACCCCGAACGCAGGAAGTCACCGCGCAGCGCGCGGAACGAAGAAATCCAAGGTACCCCAACGAAGAGCATATGGTCATATGGTTTCGATGGTGCCGCCACTGTTCATGGGTACGGCCCCCCAGTCCGCGGGGCCAACTTCGTGTTACGAACGTTCGCGCATGAAATACTTTCGAAACCAACGTGGATTACGTTCTTCTTCCGCTCTGGATGCGGTCATTGGCAGCCTCTCCGACGGGCGTCGTCGTCGTCGTCGTCGTCGTCGTCGTTGTCGGCGGCGGCGGCGGCGTCCTCGACCAGGGTAGGGCCCACATCTCCGACGCTGTGATGTTTTCCTACCGGCCCTTCTTCCTCGATCTCGACCCTTGGGCGCCGCTTGATGGGGAACGATAAATGGGGGGGGGGGGAGTTTGGGGGACACTGAAGGCCTACTTTTGGGCCCTAAAAAGCCCCTTTCAGCCTTCAGCAGCCTGCCGTAGGAGGGCGCCTACTGTATACTGTAGGAGGGCGCCACCTGTAGACTTCCACCGATCCGGGCCAGGGCCGATCCAGGGCCCAGGATCGGTGCACACGCCCTCCTGGCTCGGCCAGGGAGGCATACAACTAACCCCGACACTGTGCCCAGGATGGGCCTGGCCAGGATGGGTGCAAGTGTATAGTGGGCGCTCTCCGCGGGGGAGGTGGGAGGGAGGAGGGAGGGGCGAAGGAAAGGGAGGAAGGGTGATCTCCAAACGACCTCCCGCGATTGCATTGGGGCCACCAGTTGCGCCGGTGGGCGCCCTCGAGGCGGCGGTTGGTCGAGGTCGCGATGGCGTCGCCGACGAAGTCCTCCAGGTTCGCCTGCGGTCTCGGGCCAGACCTCTGGCGTTTTGGGCAAAAGCAGGGCGAGGGCGGGTCTTTCGTTTTCAGCCTCCGTGGGCCCCGTTCGAGCCCTGGCCTGCATGGGGCCATCAAAAACGCAAGCCGGGATCAGAGAACGGTGCCCGGGACGGGTCGAGATGACCGCCTTGCCATCGCTCGGGCGTCCATGCCCAGTGCGCGTTTCGATGACGTGCGTGCCTGCTGTTGCTCGATGATCCAGGATGCTCCTCGATGGTCCTCGCCGAAAACAAAGCACTGCACACGTCTGGGCGATGCCGAGCCGAAGTCCACGTGCGAGGAGGGAGGGGAACATCTCCAGAGGAACGGGGGGAGAGACAGCGACGTAGGCCCTGGGTCTCCACAGCCCCCAAGAGCCCAAGAGGTCTCAGAGGCCTCTACGGAGGATTCCCGGGGCACTCGGGGGGGGTCGAGATGTCCAGAGTCCCCGCATGAGGAGGGAAGGAAGCAACGCCAGAGGCCCCGGGTCTCCAGAGGATTCCTGGAGGCCCCAGGGGGGTTCAGGAAAAGGCCAACAGTTCGATCCTCGATCTTCCAGGCCTACACATCCGACTGGACCCACGAGGCCTAGCGTGCACCAAAAGATCTGGCGTGGGCTTTTGCGTGGCATACGCTACAGCGCCCGACGGGCCGCAGCGCCGTGAGAGCTGTAAGTGGGGTGGTCTCGTATGTTTTGTTGTTGTTGAGGAGGAGGAGGAGGAGGAGGAGGAAAAGGAGGAGGGGGAGGAGGAGGAGGAGGAGGAGGAGGAGGAGGAGGAGGAGGAGGAGGAGGAGGGAGGAGGAGGAGGAGGAGGAGGAGGAGGAGGGGGTTGGTCGACCGACGTCTTGCTGTTTCCAGTGCGGGGCTCCTGAAGCCCCGACCACTTCCGCATGGGGGCCGACTCTGCCGCTCCTCGGCGGCGCTTCCGGGGACTGGCCTCCCGGGCCCCCCTGGGGGCCGCAAACAGGGAGGAGCACCTCCGCCCTGACTTGGTCAGGACGCCCTGACTGAGTTGGCCAAGCGAGGAGAGGAGGAGGAGGAGGAGGAGGAGGAGGAGGAGGAGGAGGAGGAGCAGGAGCAGGAGCAGCAGGAGGAGCAGGAAAAGCAGGAGGGGAGGAGGGGAGGGGGAGGGGGGGGGGAGGGGGAGGGGGGGGGGAGGGGGAGGGGAGGAGGAGGAGGAGGGAGGGAGGAGGAGGAGGAGGAGGAGGAGGAGGAGGAGGAGGAGGAGGAGGAGGAGGAGGAGGAGCAGGAGGAGCAGGAGGAGCAGAAAGGATCGCTTATAGTTGTCGCTTCTGGAGGACGTTCCCCCAGTGTCTCGTTCAACCTTTCGGGGTGACACCTGCATGGAGCCGATATTGACTGCGCGGACGTGCAACATGGCTGATCTCCACGCAGCGCGTCGGCGTTCCCCGATTAGCTGGGCGCACCGCTCGGGGAACGCTCCCGACTTCCCGTATCCTTCAGCAGGAGCGACCCTGGGTAAGAATGACCTTTGGTGCGCGGCTCTGGAGGGCCGCAGGAAAACCAAACGTTCTGGGCGAGCTGGCCAATGCTGGGGGGACCCGTGTGGGCCCGCACCGAAGGTCGCTCTTACGCGTAGCCGACTGGGAAGGGTGGGTGGGTGGGCGTTTCGAGAAGTGCCCCTGGCCCACGGTGCCCCCAGAATTTGGAAGGAGGCCCCCGCGGCCTCCAGAGCAACCCCCACGAGGCTGAAGGGGTCCCAGGGGCTCGACAATCGAATGAAAAGCTGGGGGCACCTTGGGCCAGGGGCACGTTTAGCAACCCCCGAGAGGGGGGGGGGGGGGATCAGGGGGGAAACAGGTCCTGAGGGAAGCGGGTCCTGGACCCTGGGGCCTTCCCCCCGGACGAGATCTTCATCATGGGTTGTTTTCTGACAGCCCCGGGGCCCCTGGGGGACCCTGAGAGCCGTAAAACAACGAAAAACAGGACCCGCTTCCCTCAGGACCCGCTTTCCCCATGGTGAGGTGATCGCCTGCGTGACGCACAGGAAGCCCCCGGCGCGGCGCCGGAAGTAGCAGCAGGACTGCTGGGCCATGGCGGCGCCCTTCCGCCGAGGGGGCCCCCGTGGGGTCTCCGTGGGGCTCGACCGGCGGCGGGAAGCGGCCCGGGGTGGTCGGCACGGCGCGGCGCCGAGAGGGGCTGCGCGAGAGGGGCGCGGGGAGCCCCCCCCCCTGTAGGGCAGGCGCCCGTCCGAACCGAACGCGCTGCACAGGAATCCCAGACCACCCTCGCGTCGCGAACCAAATCGTAGGACGGGACGTTTTTTGCTGCGACTTTCGGCCTCCAGGGGCCCTCGCCGGCCCTCGGGACCGTCAAAACACAACTCGGGACGAAAAGCTGGTCCCGGGGAAGGGGTCCAAACTTTTGGGGGTCGCGCCATGGAAAAAATAGCCTGGCGAAGGACCCAACCATATGCAGTTGTGAATACCGCAATTGTGAATACCATCTTCGCCCGCGTTCCCTATGTGGCCACGGCTTCCCGCTGGAGCCCGACATGCTCAGGAACACGTTCGTGGCCGTCTTCGCGGGTGCCGACGACGACAAGGACGGCGTCCCTCTCTGACCGAGGAGCAGAAGCAGGAGAGGGCTTTGAGAGCCATCAACTATGGGGCCACGATCCTCGTGAGGGGTGTGCCGAAATGGCCCGAGGCCGCCATGCGACCCCTGCCACTGGGGGCCTTCGGTGGAGCTCCCTATGGGGCCACGATCCTTGTGAGGGGTGTGCCGAAATGGCCCGAGGCCGCCATGCGAACCCTGCCACTGGGGGCCTTCGGTAGAGCTCCCTATGGGGCCACGATCCTCTTGAGGGGCGTGCTGAAATGGCCCGAGGCCGCCATGCGAACCCTGCCACTGGGGGCCTTCGGTGGAGCTCCCTATGGGGCCACGAAGCGATGTACTCGGTGGGTGAAAACGCAGGGGGGAGGGAGAAGGAGGGAGGAGGGGGAGGAGGGCGGGAAGGAAGGAACGCGGGGCGCCGTTTCTTCAAAACGAGGACCCAACACCACAGGATGGTTGGGAATCATGACGTCGGGGGTCTGAGATCATGCAGGGTAGCGCTGCCTGGACGGCAGGGCCAAACAGCGCCCCCCAACGAGCCGGTGCTGCTGCAGGATTGACAAGCGCGCGACGCGCACACAGCACAAGCATGCTCGGGTGATGCCGAAAGAAAGGTGGACCTGCGGATTGGGGTGGAAGTGGGCTAGACAGTGAGAGGAGGAGGAGGAGGAGGAGGAGGAGGAGGAGGAGGAGGAGGAGGAGGAGGAGGAGGAGGAGGAGGAGGAGGAGGAGGAGTGGAGTGGAGTGGAGTGGACTCCGCTGCGCAGCAGGTTCGAATCTTAGGAAGGCCTGGACAGACGAGCATTCGAACGCCGAGTAGCTTGCTCAGCTCGGCTCAGAACTTTGGGATGTAACCCCCGTGCAATTCTGTCAAGGTACTCTTGCCCCGTGGCGGACTTCCTCTTACTACAGGGGCCCTTAAGAGATCGCAGAGCCTTATCCGCGATACCCCCACACTCTGTGCAAAACCAAATCTGAAGGGTCGGGTGAACATTCAGGGTATGCGTAGTGTGGGCCCAACCCCCCGCGATATGAACTCGCGACCCCTTTAAAGGCGAAAACACAACCCCATCGACATTGTACAGCCTAGGACATTCAGATTCGACGAATTCCTGAGCGGTAGCGAGGGTTGCAGAACCGAAACAGGAGAGGCAACGTCGGCCGCAGTCGGCCAGACGGTGCCTGGACATGAGGGCAGCAACAGCAGCAGCTGAGGGAGGCGGAGGAGGAGGAGGAGCGGGAGGAGGCGGGACCTCAGAAGGGCCCCCAGGGCCTCGGGTGGCATCCTTTTCCTTTCTCTCAGCCTCCTGGCTGGCTGCCATGCTATCAAGCGTGGCTCGGAGGAGCCTCAAGCGGACGAGGTACGCCCTCCGCTCAGCCAGCAGGATGGGTTGGCGGACCTCGGCGGGCAGCCTGGCTCTGGCCGCTGCACAGCCCGCGAACTCGTCGGCGAGCAGGTTGCCGATGACAAGGTACCTGTTCACCGTCTGGGCGGCAACGTCCTGAGCCGTGCTGTGGGACGGCGTCCAGAGTACCGTCACCTCGGCGTGGCGGCGTGAGCTCATCAGGTCCCCGATGAGCTTCCATAGGTCGGCGTCCTCGCCTGCTGGGTTCAGGTAGGTTTGGGAGTACCAGCCCGCCGCAACGTACTCGCAGTCCGTCACGTAGGTGAGGTACCTGGTCGTGCACCAGAGCGCGAGGTACAGGGAGTAGAGCTCCCCTCTCGCCACCACTTGGCGCGGGCCACCAAGCTGGCCGAAAACTGCACCATGTAGGTTGATCTCGGGCAGCAGGCTGGCCACACATACTATGGCAACTCCAATCCGCATGAAATCACTGATGCTCGCATCTGGCCCTCCACTGGCGTCACCGAATATCTCGACTGGTGACTCAGCGCTCCCCGCCCCGAAGATCCCTTCGGAGAGCTCGTTGATGCCCGTGAACTCCAGGACCGTGTCCTTCGGTGGGGGCGGGGTCTGGGTCCACTGGCTCGGTAGCAACCCGCGTAGCCAGAAACACTCGGTGGCGTCCGTCTGGGCCAGCGCGGCTGAAACCAAAGACTCTGAGCGAGTATAGGGCGTGGCCGACACGTTCTTGCTGCACTGCCAGAATCTGTGCTTGGCCGTTTCTGGTGCCTCTCGGCAGCGTTCACACATGTTGCTGCCCTTATAACCCTTCAATTCATCATAGCGCCTCTGTTGCGTCCAATATCCACCTGTAGCAATATTGATCAGCAACTCGGCGAGGCGCACACCGTGAGGGAGTTGCCCAACTTGTTTGAGCAACAGCCGAAATGACCGATTGTCAACTCCATGCTCGACTCCACCTCCGCAGTAGTGTTTGGCAGCCGTGGTCCACACCACCTGGGCTGCCGACTGACGTACATCCTTCAACAATTCACGGTGTGTGTCCAGAAACTTATTGCCCGTATATATGGCGTCTGGAAATTGCCATTCCTCCGACCCCGTGGGCGTGGTGTACGACCACGTGTCCACATCCTCAGGGTTCCAATTGATGCGGAGGAGGGTGAGGATTACTGCAGACACAGGGCCACGAACTGCACGCACCTGATGTTGAGGGTCCAGCTGTGACAGATGGTCTCGGACATGATGCCAGACTTGTCGTACTCGCTGGCGCAGACCTGGCTGTTGCTGTCAGACGCTAAGCCACATGTCCACGGTCCTGGCTGGCATCGCCACTGCAGGGTCCCCTCCTGGCGCTCTCAGGTCCAGAAGGGTAGTGAGGCAGCGGCCTCTAGTAGCAGCTGCGCAGATCTGACCGAGTCGACGGCGGTGGGTGGTCAGCTGGTGGCCGAACATCCCGTGCACCTCGAAGCCGTAGGAGCCCGCAGGTTGGCAGCCGTTGCGCTCCAGCCGCGTCGTGATCCCGTACCGCCGAGTAGCTCGGCTGAATCTCTTCACCTTCTCGTTCATCGCTCCGTGTTTGATCTGTCTCTGCGTCCTGGTAGCACGGCCCTGCTTGCCGCAGCTGAAGTCCACCCCCAGGTACGGCGCTTGCGCCAGAGCCCTGACTGGGAAACCCTTGAGCTTGGCAGCCCGGGCTACAGCACGAGCGTCAGCGGCGTTCGTGCACATGACGACTGACTTCTTGGCCAACTTGAGGCCTGCCTTGGCAAGCTCTTGGCCCGCCTTCACAACTCCGCGTATGAGGTTAGCCCTTACTGCCTGGCGTGAGCCCGTGATCTTCTGGCAGATATCGTCTATCCAAACGCGGTGGTTCATCCTGGGTGTCGCCGTAACCACCACCTGCATCACGAAGTGGGTGAGGATCTTGGCGAATCTGGTTCCCCCTCGCAGCCCCTGGATGACTGACTGGCAGGGCTCGAAGGGGGTGCACACTGCTCCCTCCTGGGATAACGTCCGCATCGTGATGCACTGGAGGAGCTCCAAATATAAAATGACTGGTGGGAAATGGAGCCTCAAGGCCGCCCTCGCCAGGGGCAGCCAAGGTATTGAATCATAAAATTCCTGAATGTCAAGCAGTCCTTGACCAAATTCCATTCGCATCCAGTGCGCTACCTCTTCATCAATGGCATGAAGATATGCTTCGCGTAAACAACTGTTCCCAGCAACTGCGGCATCCCATGCCTGTTCTTCATCTTTGCTCCATTGCTTTACTATAGGTTCCCGAACGTGGGACCAAAGGCGGCCTATCATAGGTATCATACCTATGCCTCTGTCGCCCTGGGATTTCTTGGGGGTCAAGAAGGTCACGATGAGCTGTGTCTGAGCTGGCCAAGCGAGCAAGGCTTCTGCATTCTTCAAAATGTCTGTAAATTCCTCCATGGCCTCACGAGGGAGGCGTTGAAAGTCGACTGGGCTCAGAACATCCACCCCCAGCCCTGCCTTAGCCTTCATGGCCTTGGCGCTGGCGTAGACCAGGTCTGGGGTAAGCTCAGGAAGATCATCACCCTGGGCCGCTTCTCGAATGAGTCGAAACACTTCCGTTATCTCGCTGACGTCAGGGGGCCGTGGAGCCCACATCCGCTTGAAGGTCACCGCTTTATGCTCCATGATGTCGGCTGGATGAACGAGGGCGCGATCCCCCACCTCCAGCTCACCCGGCGGTAGTGGGTTCGCCTTCAGCGACTTGTGGAGGATGCCCACGGCCTCTGGCTGCATCACAAAGGTCTTAAAGTTGGAGATCGACTCGTGAACTGCCGCGCGCTGAGCCCTGCTGGCCACACGCTTCGCTGCAATGACATAGTTCTCCAGCACTGGGGTCGACAACCGACTCGGGTCACCGAGAACTGCCAGCCACTGGTCCCACGGGGCCTCGCGACCCGCATTCAATAGGTTGTGCACCCCTTCAGGCCTGGACTGCCGTGGGAGGGTACTAGCCTTGCCGTGCTCCTGCTGCTGGCGCTGGCCGTTGTCCCTGCACTGGTGCCTGAGGACTCCAGCGAGCACCGTGTGGACGCGCGTCCACCACTGGCTACGTTGATCATGAAGGGCGAGTTCCCGAACATGGGCAGTGACCCTCATGGGCTTCTCATGGATCCTGGGCCCCACGGCGCGCGTGGGCCCAGCAGGGGGCCTGACATGATGGTGTGTATGGAAAGCCTGCTCGACCGCCGTCACCCAAGTCGCGCACTGCCCCGTGAGGAGCTTTCCGCGAGCAGGTTCAAGCGAAAAGGCTACGG